AGGAGACAAGCTTGAGCCCAGGAGTTGGAGGTTGCTGTGAGCTGTAATGCCACGGCACTCTACCCAGGGGGACAGCTTGAGGCTCTGTCTCAAAAAAAAATTTTTTTTTTAATGAGGAATCATGTCGGGCATCTCTTCATAAGCATATTTGCCATCTGTATATCTCTTTTGGTGAGGTGTCTTTCAGAGCTTTTGCCCATAAACAAATAAAAATAAAATAAAAATATTTTTGTAGAGATGGAGTCTCACTATAAATAATGTCTTTTGCAGAGCACAAGTTTTTAATTTTAATAAAGTTTCACTGATCAGCTTTTTTTCTTACATGGATCATGCTTTTGTTATTCATTTTTTTAATCTAAAAATATTTTCCCTTTCCATCTCCTTTTTCCTAGTAATGCATTTGCAGCTGTGTTTATATGGCCTTGTGTCCCTTCTAGTTCAGTCTTCATGTCTGCAATGGTTCATTTCTTCCTAAAATTTTCCTTTGTTTTATTATGTCATTTCTGAGCTTTTGAATTCTAATTTAGATTGTTTTTTCATGTTGTATCATTTTCTTCATGTTCTACTATGTTCTGACATAGTAGATTGCACTTTTGAGATTTTTTTTTGAAATCTTTGCCTTTTTGTTTTAGAAATGAGGCTGCTCTGTCACCCAAGTTGGAGTTCAGTGGCACCATATCTCACTGTAGCCTCAAACTCCTGGGCTCAAGCAATCCTCCTGCCTTGGCCTCCCAAGTAGCTGGGACTAAAGGCATGAGCCATTGTGCCCAGCTGAGGGCCACATCTTTCTAGGAGTACCTTTTCATTGTCCCCAGGAAAACTACTCACTTATGAGAAGTAACTAAGTCAGCTGAAGTGGCTGCAGCCTTTCATGGGAGCTGGCCACCAGGCCACCCAGAAGGACTGGAAATGGGGCTAAGTGCTTGCTATGAGATAGGGAAAGACTTCCCAAAGGCAGGACCCTTCCCACCTCCTAAAGTTGCTGGGCCCTACCTTTCAGAATATTTGACCCTTACCAGGAACTGAGGCTATGCCTGACACCCAAATTGTGCCCCACCCTTACTTGGTGTCCAGGACACCCCTCGCACTCCACACACCCAAAGCTGACATCCTCTGTTTCCTCTCATGCCTGTCTTCCCCTCTACTTCTGCTAGCGGCACAACCCTCCAGCACAGCATCTAAGACAGAAATCTAGACACCCTTCTAGGATCCTTCTTCTCTGTCCATACTCCCCAGTCAGCCACTACATTCTGCTGAGTTTCCATCCTCATTGTTTCCCAGGCTTAACTTCCCTATCCATCCCCACACACCCACTCTTGTTCAGACTCTCCTCGCCCCTAGATTAGGGCAACAGGATCCAGGAGAAACTCCCCTGCTTCCAGCCCAGGCCCTCCAGTCCAGCCGCACGTGGGTGGAGGATTCCAAGGCCATTTCAGGCCTGGTCTAACTAGCTAACTCAGTCTCCACTCCCACTCCTTTTTGCCTCACTTTATGTTCAAGTCATCATGAAACAGCCAGTTCCCCATGCATGCACCACAGTCTTATTAAGTCAGTTTTCACCGTCTTTCCTCTTCTTTGTCAACAATTGACAAGAATCTGAGGTCTTGCCACTTGCAAGCTGGGCGGAGAGCCTTGTCTCAGTCTCACAGGTGCCGCAGATGCAAGGTTCCTATGTCAGAGGCAAAGGGCTTCCTCATGCACAGCAGGTTGCATGGGTGTCATTTGTGCTGTGACTCCTATTACCTGCATCCCCTGATTGACACAGAGGTGGGCCCAGGTGAGTGCTATGCACACCACAGGTCTGTGTCATAGCTTAAAAACCTTGAGCTTAAGAAACTTAACCATTTAAAGACGGCAGCTTGCAAACCTGCCAAAATTCTGCCCTGGAGGAAGATACTGTTTAAGGTAAGAGACATTACTTTATTATCCTAGTGGAGAAAAAAATCTGTCCTCTTCCCAGGACAGAGAAACAATCTGGATCTTCTAAGATTTCAAATAATCTTTAAAAGATGCTGTCAATGACTCTTCACCAGACATGTGGAATTGCAAGAAACCCCCCGGAGAATTGTCTCCCAATAGTTTTGTTGCTTTCTGCACCTGGCAAGACCTTATCCTGAAAGGCCCTGCTCAGAATCCCTGTCTCCAGGAAGCCCTCTTTGCTTGTACCAGGCAACTTATATGCCCTCTATTCTGTCAGGCTCTCCTAATGTGCTGTGGCTTCTGCTGTCACCATGCTGGTCAAATTGAACTAGAAATATCCCCATGGCTCATCAACCCTCAAATCTGACTTTCCAGGTGTTCACTACAGACCATAACATTTCTTCATACAGGTTTGGAAAAGATGCCCCTTTTTCTGGGTGGACACAGTCCCACCGTGGGCCCATAGGCTGGATCTCAGTCCCATTTGTCCCCTCAGCCGTGTAACTTTGGCAGTGAACAATCGCCATGACCATATGTGCTAGCCTTGAATTTATTTACATTTTGGAGAATATCTGAGACTTCCCCTGCTGCCTCCACCCAGGCACTTCCGTGATCCTTGCAATAAACATGGGGAATCAGGGTCTAATAAACATTCTCATTTTAGGAATGGGGAAACTGAGACACACTTGCTAAGGGTTTGCAGCTGGCCTAGAGCCCAGGTCTCCTGGCTCCTACTTTAAGTTCCTCCCACCATACTGCTGAGTAGGTATTCTGACCTTGAAGTTAAACAGATTCCAGAGTCCCCTGTTGGGGACTGTGTGGACTGCAAAGTCAGGCTGTGTGGGCTGCAAAGAGGCAATCTCTGGAGAGCTTTCCTGGTTGCCCATGATTCACAGCAAACTGGGGAAGAGAAAAAGCCACTGTTGTGAATTGACACTTTCTTCCCCAAAGTTCTGCTTCATATGACTTTCCTGCAAAGGAAGGGCCTGCCACTGGCCACCCACAGCTGCCCCCCACCATCCTGCCCTCTGATGACTGCCTGGCAGGAGGCATCCCAGTCCTGGAGTCTAGCCAACTGAGTGAGTACATAGCAACTGCATCAGCAGATGTGTGCCAGGCTTTGCAGATAGATGTCGCCCAGGCCTTGGGGAGGCCAGGCTCATCTGTGAGTGTAAGGTGGGGGGGGGGCAAACCAGAGGGCCCCAGGCCAGGCCTCTTCAGTTTAGGACCTCTCATGATGAGTGGGATATTGTGCCCAGCAATCATACTGGCTATGGTGATGGAGAGGCTGCAGGGCCAGGCACGACTGGTCCCTCTGCAGAATCCCTACAAGGCTTCTTCTGTGTTGGCACAGTCCCTGCCATGGGCTGTGGAGCCAGTAGAAGCAGAGGGGAGAGGGAGCCAGTCCACCAAGGAAAGAAAGGACAAAAGCCAGGAAGGACATGCCTTCTTTAAGATGTTGTTATGTGGATTAAATAAAGTAACGCAGGGGAATGTCTCACCAGCACAAGTTATGAAATCTGGCCCTTGATCAGGTCTCCCATTTGGTCAGTCAAACCTTCCTGAGAGAGAGACATCCAGATAACAAGAACTCTGTGTAACTCTTTCCCCTGCTCTCTGGGGGCTCATGAGGGCTCCATGGCCTCTCCTGATGGGGTGGCCTCAACATTGGTCTCAGGGCAGGGGCCTGGCACACCTGTGTTCTTACAGTGGTCCCTTCAGGCCAGCCTACTGGCCAGCTCTGTCCTTTTCCTGGAAGCTAGCATAGACCCCCCCAAGGCTGAGTGAGGCCTAACTTACTCTCTGAACCCCAAACCCACCCAATCATGGGCCCCACCTGGGGAAGAGGGTGTTTGGGTAAATGGGGTCCCCCACCCTGCTCCACCAGGCTTAGGGCTAATGGAAGGTAGTATGTACCTGGCCTTGGAGCTGAGGCATGAGGCTGTATAGTCCAGCCCAGGACCAATAGGAGTGTTTGCACTGGGTGGGCACTCAGGGATCATGGCTGGTTGTCCTCAGCTTCTGGGTATTTGCCTGTTTTCTCTCATCTGTTACCTCTGGGGCGGGGCAGCATCCCGGAGCATTGCCTGTATCTACAGGGGGCTGTCCTAGCCTGTAGCCAGAGTCTAGCAGCTTTTTTTTGACTGGCACACTAAGCTGGTTGGTGCCCCAAGTTATTTTAGCCCAGTCCAGTCACCATTCTCTGGGCACCTTGCTCGTGGCCATTCACATAGGTTCCAAATGTGCTTTGTTCTCTTCTCTGTTAGAAGAGCAGGCACTAACAAATACCTATTTTTATTCAATGCTGAGGACACCAACACATATGGTCCAAATCTGGTGGAGAAATATCAAGAGAAAACTGCAATTTGATGGGATCTCTCTTGTGAGAGACAAGTCTAAGGGACTATGGGAACATGGGTAAGGACTGTTTGGCCCATCCTAGGGGCTTAAAGGCTTCCTGGAGGAAATGGGTGTTGAAGGATGTACAGGAGTCAATCAGCCAAAGACTAAGGGGATGGTATTCCTGAGAGTGATGAAAGATGGTTCTGATCCAGAGCCAGGAGTGATGGGAACCAAGGATGGTGGGGAGACAAAAGATAACCAGGTGAGGGTGGCTGAGAGTATGCCATAGGCACTGGCAGAGGACAGGATCCTTGGTGGCGGGGGGGGGGGGCCTTCTGAACCCACTTGGAAAGGAGAGGCTGTGAATGGGAGTGGGGGTGGTGGGCTACCTGAGCAGTTTCAGAACCTTCAGAAAAGGACATGCCATTTTCAAAAGGGCTTTTATTAGACCCCTCACACAGCGCCTCTTGCAGCAACTGCCACAGCCCTGGGCTGTGTCAGCCAGGGAAAGGGCTCTCCCAGTTTTCTCTTTGGTGGAGGCCAGGCCTTGTCTATGTGTCCGTGGAGCTGGCCTTGCTTAGCGGTCCCAGGGTGTGCCTGGCTGCTTCTGGTAGGGTTTGAAGCTGCAGAGGACAGTGGGCACTGCCAGCGGGGGGCAGGGCTCCCATGCAGGGGTGGGGGTCTATCTCTTCAACACACATCCTGAGACGCTCCTGAGATGCTGGGTCCAGATCCTGGACCCACCTTGAGGGGCACAGGGTGCAGCTGTGGCCAGCACCCCTACACTGTCCAGTCCTGGGGAAACTGAGTGCAGACCCTTCTCTGGGAAGAGCAACGATGGGGTGGGCGTAGTGGAGGCAGAGGGACCGACCTGAGAGGCTGTGTGTGAACAGGGGCTGGGCTTGTTTGCTGCAACTGGCTGGAGAGCCTTTTCCTTTTCTGAGCCTCAGTTTCCCTTCTTGTCTAATGAAGAACATGACCTCTCAATGCTAGGACTCCCTTAGAAAGGGCCCTCAGGCACATCTTCATGTTACTTTCACAATTACATCGGACACGCCCAGTGGAAGGCACACGCGTGACATGTGGCTATCAGATGCGGGCACGTGCTGAGTGCGTGTGTGGGATGCGCAAGGGCGCGCCCAGTCCGCTCCTTCTCTGTCCCAGGCCAGTCTCGGCCAGTACTGCCACCGAAGGGCCTCACAGGAAGTTGGGCTCCCGCACGACCAGACAAGGTGGACTCCCGCCGCCCCCACCGCCATCGAGGGGCCGGTACACGAAGTGGAAGTCACGCTTGGGTTCACTTCGCAGCAGGTAGCCCTTGATGCGGTGTGGTAGCGCATCGTCGGCCAGCTGGAAGCAGCGCCCGTCCACCAGCACGAAGAGCCGGTGGTCGTGGGGCTGCGCCACCTCGAACTTCTCTGCGCACTGAGCGCACAGCGCCTGGGCCAGCGTGTCGGCTCGCGACGCCAGCGTCCGCGACTGCTGCTCTGGCTCCAGGTACGACACACAAATGAAGTCCTGCGGAGCGAGACGGAAGGAGCTTTTAGTAACCGGTAGCCAAGTGTGTGCCTTGAGTCGCTCCCACCCCAAGGCAGAAAGATTGGGCCAGTGGGCCTTTGCCCCTTCCTGGCCCCACGTTTCTCTTCGGATCGAGAGGGGATGCGGGAGCGGTCGTGAGGCTGGAGATCGCGCACCTGGGTTCCCTCTTTACTCTGCGAATGTGCTACTGGGCGACCTTCCCCCCTGAGCCTCTCCTCTCAGATGGGTCCACTGTCGTGGTTTGATTCCCAGTAGTTTTGAGTCTTGGCAATGAGGAACAGCGCGCCCTCTGCTGGCCGGTCCACAGGCTTCCCATCATTTATTCCCCCACCCCCCCACCCCTTATTTCTTCCTCACGGAGTCGCCCTGCACTCCACGAGCAATCCTGGGCATGGCGGACAGCCGGTATACAAAGGGGGAAAAGCAGTGTCCACCCCTGAATCTCACAGTTCGGGGAGGCCCGAGTGGAAGCGGGGAGGGGAGTGGGCAAAGAAGGGTGGGTTCCGGACAGGTGGGAAGGATCCCCACGGGAGCAAAGCGAGGCGAAGCCCACGCGGCTGGGGCCGGGGTACTCGCAACAAGCGCACAGAACGCTCATTTGGTCCTCCGCCAGCCTGGAACAGCCCCTCTTTGACCCCAGGTTCCCCCCGAGTAGGTGGGAAATAGCGGTGCGGGGACGCCCCCTTGTGGACCGAGTGCTACCAGCAGCCTCCACCCAGAAGAAGATAAGGACCACAGCACAGAAGATTAGGCCTACAGGTAGTGAGCGCTTATGAAGCTTCATTGGGACCATCCATTTCTTTTGGGAGGAGGAAAGCTCAGCCCACTCCTTCTGCCTCTTAGTGGCTGTCTTAGGGCACCTTGTCCTCCATGATGCTTCCCAAGGACCCTGATGACTGGCTCTGGATTCAGTGGATTTAAGGACTAGGGTCAGAGGAGGCACTGAGAAGAAGCAGAGGGTGCTGCCCAGATCCCGGATACGGTGCTGAGGGGGTTCCTCATCCTCTGTCCCAAGCTTCCCACATCCTAGTGCTGGCTGGTCCATCCCACTGATGGTCTGCCTGGATCAGCATCAGGAACCCATAGGGTAGAAGCAACAAGTAAGGGAAGCCTGGTCCAGACTTGAACCAAAAGTTTCTGTATCCTGTGTGGGAGATTAGGGAACAGTGGTGTGCTGGGAGAGCCAACAATGGTGTGCAGTGATGCCAAGTTAAAATTTGCTATGGCGGGAATATTTACACCATGGAAATTGACAGAATCTGAAATCAGAGCTTTTTTTTTTACCCCCCCCCAGATGGTTATTAAATATTTATCAAAAGGGTATTGATTAGTCACAGTCTGTGAAGATAGAAACACTGAGTCCAAGAGAGGGGCACGGATAGCTCAGAGTCACACAGCAAGCTAGTACAGAGCTGGATCCAGAACTTGAGCCTCCTGCCTCCCAGGCCTGGGCTCTCTATTATGGATGGGCCATTTTGAAAGCCAGGAGTGGGGTTCAGGACTGGTGTGCATTGGTTGCTAGGGCAGTGAGTCTGCACAGCTGTTAACAGCTCTAGACTGTTCAGCTTGCTGACCTAACTCCCTCCATTCTCCACACATCCAGTCCCAGATCCATGGGCCATGCCTTCCCAGAGCGACAGTTGCATATGCAGAGGGTTACATACAGCACTGTAAAGGAGGAGGCAGGTAGAAGAACAGAGCATGGCATCGAACCCAACCCTTGGATAATAGTGTGTGTGTGGGTAATCCTGGAAGCTTCTCAGAGGAGGAGAAGCCTTAAAGGACAGGCAGTGATAGCCAGAGAAGAAGGGGAGGTAGGCCAGGGTGGACAGAGGCTGAGCAGCCAGTGAACTGGGCTGAGCAGGCTGGGGGAGTTTGGGGTATGTGAATTTGATGCAGCCTTGGGGTGTGCAGAGTGATGGCAGCAGAGGAGGAGCAGGAGTCTGCCTTGAATACTGAGTCTATGTAGAGAGAGGCGGGGAGGGGTGAGTGGCTGGATTGATGGGGAGCAGGCTAGGAAAACGGGGACCTGGGCTGTAGCGGTTTGTCGAGGGACAGAGGGGCAAAGCTGCAGATTTGCTCTTGGTTTCCCCCCAAAGCATGGGTTGGGATGACAGGCCTACATCTCTGGTCCTCGAAGGGTGCTAGGTGTTTATGAATATTGGAATGAATATCTCATTCCTCCTGTACCCATCTCTTCTGCCCAGCTGGGGCACCAATGCCTAGCGATACGTTTCTAGGTCTGCCCACGCCCTGGACAACAAGTTTCGGGCAGGCAGGAGCTAGGGCCTTTCCTCTGGCCTGGGAATCTCAACGGCTCCCCTAAGGGCAGGGCTGGCCGTCAGAGCAGGCAGGAGATATCAGGGCCCCAAGCCAGTCAGCAATGTGGATGGTGGCTGCTGCAGGGTCCCGTCCGCCCCTCCCACTTTGGGTCTACGGCGTCACCTGCACGGAGGAGCGGGAGGCGCGGGCCTTGTTGAGCGTGCGCCGGCGCTCCCAGCGGTGAATGGAGTCCTGCACCTCCACGCTCAGCTGCCGGGTCACTGTGATCTTGTCGTAGTTCTTGATGTGCTCGAGGGCCCCGTAGGTGGTGGTCAGATAGTAGGAACCTGCGGGGACAGAGTATGCAGGCTGAGCTAGGACTCCCGGTCCATTCGTAAAGGGAAAGGGCTGGTTCGAAGGGGCTGGCGGGCCCTGCCACATCACCACGCCCACCTCCTCGAAGCTCCATCCATCGCCGCTGCATTGGGCTCACCAGAGTCAAGGTCAATTGATTCTAAGGTTTGCCAACTCCAGCCCCCAACCCACAGCCAGCTTCCGGGAGTTCAGTCCCCAACCCTCTTGGCCCTGCTTAAACTTTACATTGGCTCTCCTTCAGATCGAAACTCTTGTCTGTTTTAAAATCGTGCTTTAAAATGAGTTTTTAATTTTAAAATAACTTTTAGCATGTTTTAAAATGGATACGCAAGAAACTGAGAACCACGAATGCCTTCAAGATAGATGAAAGGTGGCTGGGAGACTGGGTGTGCCACTCACTGTGCATGACGTAATACCATCCTGACTTGGGATGGTCCCACTTAACGATTTTTTGCCTTTATGATGCTGTAAAAGTGATTTGAGTTGAGTAGAGACCAGACTTCAAGTACACATATAACCACTGTTTTTCACTTTCAGTAGTACAGTATTTAATACATTACATGAGATATTTAACACTTTGTTATAAAATAGGCTTTGTGTTAGATATTTTGCCCAACTCTTGACTAATGTAAGTGTTCTGAGCATGTTTAAGGTAGGTTAGGTGTACTGAGTGCATTTTCCACTGAAGATATTTCCAACTTATGATGGGCTTATCTGGATGTGACTCCATCTTACGTCAAGGTGCATCACTGTATGTTTTAAAATTTTAAGCCACATGAATGCATAAATTAATCTAAACAATTTTTTAAAAGATGTAGAGGATATTTTAATTCTATAATTATTCTACAATTTTAAAAGATTTAAAATAAGTAAAATATCTGAATTGTTCATTTCTCCATTTCTTCTTACCTTAATTCACACATGTTCTTATTAACTAATGTTTCCTAAATTAATTTAAGCTTTGGGATATTTCAGATTACAAAATTTACAAGAAGTTTTAACATTAAAAATAGCAATATTTTACAAGTTTATTTTCCTTAGCTTGTCAGAGGCTTTGGCTAAAAGGATTGAGAAGTACTAACTTTGTTGAACCCTCTCATTTTAGAGAGAGGAAACCAAGTCCCAGAGGGGCCATGATTGCACAGAGATCAGGGGCCAGAATAGGAGGACCCTGGGTACCCTATTCTCTGGTCTCCAGCATCACCCACTTCCATGCCACTTCTTTGGGCTTCTCTACCACTGGTCAAGTCTTTCTGCCCAGCCTTTCATGAGCCATGCTGATGATTTTGACGTGAGACAGATTCTGCTAGAAACCCAGTTAAATCCCATCTGCTGCTTCTACTAATTGACCTCTACTTATATTTGGGGAGGTAACTCTCTACTGAGAATGTTCACTTCCCAGAGTCCCTTGCAGCTGTGGGGAGAGGCAGGAGACTGTTCTGGCTTCTTAGATGTAAGTGGAAGACCCTGGGTGGGGCTGGCGGGCCCCACATGGCTGGGTTCATGTGGCTAACTAGTTCTAGAACACTTTCATCACCCCGGAGGAAACCTCACTCCTCATCTTCCCCTCCCTCAACCCTAGATAACCATCATCAGCCTTGAATTTAGAAGTAAGCCCAGAGGAATAGAAGCTGTTTTGTGATAAGAGGTGGCATGTGCAAAGACAAAGACCCACATGCTAAGGAAAGAAAGAGCTCTGTCCATGATTCCTTGATGGTAGGGCTGCAAACGACCATCTTTATCAGTTATTTATTCTGGACTTCCTGATGCAAGAGACAAACCAATGCCTTGCTCTGATTTAAACTATTATTACTTATATTGTGAATTATATGCAGCCCAAAGCATTCCGAACTGTTACATTGGATGAAGCTGACTGCATATCCGCACAAATTCCACAACCAATATGGGGAAAGTTCACACCTTGTCATGGTGGGTGAGGGGTAAGATAGAGATAGAGGAGTTTCTGGCTACAGGATCACCTGCATAGCTCGCTCTCCCTCTCTGGGTCTCAGTTTCCTCCCTTTAAAGTGAGGGAACTCAACAAAGTACTTTTCAAACCTTTTAGCCAAAACTTCTAACAAGCTAGTTAGAATGAACTTGTAAGCATCTATGTAAAATATTGTTTTTTAAATCTTAAAACTTCACATGAATTTTGCAATATGAAATGTCTCAAAGCTTAAATCAATTTAGGAAACATTAGGTATTAAGAATATGTGTACAGTAAGGTAAGAAGAAATGGAGAAATGAGCAACTCGATTTTTTTAATTTAATTAAAATTTCCTCTATATTTTTTAAAAATTGCTTTTTAAGAATCAGTTATACATTCACATAGTTCAAAAATTTGGTTGAACTCAAAGCCCAAGTGGGCCAGGAAGCAGCCCTTGCTGCCGTGAGTGTCATGTTCTCTACCTGCCATACCGATTGTTTTTGTCTGTGATTTTGTCTCCCTGGCTAGTAATGGGGGAGATGAGTGCAGTGTGCCAACTGTAAACCTCCAGTTTTGGAGTCTGAAAGCTCCAGGCTTTTGCCCTGTAGCAGCCAGCCCTGGGATCTCAGGTAAGTTACTGTCCTCTCTATACCTCAGCTTCTTCATCTGCAAATCCCATCAAGCTGTTGTGAAAAGTAAAGGAGATATTAGGTATTATGTGCAGGGCTTAGGAATGTGTGAGTAATGCACAGTGGCTCCATATCCTTCAGGAGTGCTCTGGAGACTTCTCACCATCTTGGGTGAAGCAGGAGGAACTCCAGGTCCTGCCAATGCCCTCTGCGGGTTGCATCTTCACAGCCAGTGTGGCCAACTTCCCTTAGACTTGGGGCCCCATTGTGCCCGCCAGGACCACTAGGTGGCAGATGACCCTACCATGAGTCTGGGAGCCAGTTCTCTCTAGGACAACTAACTGTGTTGTCCATTGATTAGAAAAACCCACAGGCCCTTATTAGCCTAACACCACCAGCTGTCAGCCAGCTTGAGTAGGGGATGCAGACAAAGGAATCCATAAGGGCACTTCTGGGAGAGGTTTGGATTTTTTTTTTTTTTTTTTTTTTTTGAGACAGAGCCTCAAGCTGTCCCCCTGGGTAGAGTGCCGTGGCATTACAGCTCACAGCAACCTCCTACTCCTGGGCTCAAGCGAGTCTCCTGCCTCCGCCTCCCAAGTAGCTGGGACCACAGGCGCCTGCCACAACGCCAGGCTATTTTTTGGTTGCAGCCGTCATTGTTGTTTGGCGGGTCCAGGCTGGGGATTCGAACCTGCCACCTTAGGTGTACGTGGCTGGCGCCTTAGCTGGTTGAGCTATAGGCGCCGAGCCGAGGTTTGGATTTTGAACTAGCTCCCAGGGGCCCAGTAGCTGCCTGGGTCTCCTGTCTGTCCCACAATTTCCCAGAATGGTGGAAGCAGGGAAGAGAGGCTAGAAAGAGGGACAGGGGACTGTGAATGCAGTGTCAGTTTCTCCCCACTGCTTACAGGAAGTCCCTGATTTCTCCTGTCCCAAATGCCTGTTGCAAGAAAGTGGGACCCAGTGGTTAGACCTTTGCTAAATCACAATACTTGGAACAGATTCAGAGAACATGCAGGTCCCAAAGAATATGTCTTGCAGGCTTTCTGCTGAACACAGAATGGTTTGCTCAAAACTGTGACACACATGGGAACAACTCCATCTCTCATCCTGCCCTGTGTGCTATGGTCTGAATGTTTGTATCTTTTCCCCTCGCTCCCCACATTCAGAGGTTGAAATTCTAACCTCCAAGGTGATAGTATTAGGTGGTGGGGCCTTTGGGAGTTGAGTAAGTCATGGGGGTGGAGCCCTCATGGATGGGATCAGTCCCTTTATAAAGGAGGGTGCAGGGACTACCTTGCCCCTTCTATCATCTGAGGACACAGCAAAAAGGCACTATGTGTAAACAAGTACATGGGGCTATCACCAGACAATGAATATGCCAGTGCCTTAATTTTGGACTTCTCACTCTCTAGAACTGTGAGGAGTAAATTCAGTGGTTCAAAAGTTATCCAGTATTTTGTTATAGAATCACAAGCAGATTGAACATCCAGCTACTTTGCAGAATGCTAGAGCACCAAGATAGTTTGAACACCCAAATCTCATCCAATATCTTATTTTCCCAAGCCAGAGAGGTTAGGTGACTTGCCCAGGGTTTCCAAGCAGTCAGAGGCAGAACTGGGTCCAAATCCGGCCTCACAACTGCTCTTTTTACTCTATCCTGGGTTAATTCTCTTAGTTCTACCAACTCAAGTTTCTAGGAGTCTGAGGACTCTGGGAGGGGCCTTCATCCCAAGGGTCTCTGAGCTCTCCCCTTCAGATAGGACCCCTCTTTTCACGTGCACCTTCAGGGCTGAAGTGATGGAGCACCTGTACACACCCCTAGCCAAGCCAGGAGGGCTAAGCTGGGGGAAAACTCAGTAACACCTCCCGTATCAAACTCTATCCCCTGCTTTTGGGCCGAGACACATCTAGATGAAACTTCAAGGCTGTTATAAGGCAGAAGCCCCAAGTCATCTGGTGGCAGAGGCAGACACTATGAAGCTGGGCCTTGTCCTAGCTGCTGTGACATTCCAGCACTCTCATGCTGGCTCTGAGAGTGGGGCAGAGAGAAGTGCAGGGAGGCACCCACCCCACCTACTGGCCTGAGAAGCATGGCTTGAGTTTGTCCTCTGGCCCTCAAAGTTGCCACAGGCAGGGCCTGACATCTTGTGGGCAGACAGGGCTGCTGTGGGGCTCTGACTACTCAAGTCTGAAAAAGGGCAGGGTGCAGCCTGAATTCACGAAGCCTTGGGTAACTGGTTAAGACCTTTATGTATTTATTTGTACTTTGGCTATCTCCTAAATACTTAAGTAGCCCAGAATAGAACAGCTCTCCTGCCTAAAGGATTCACCTTTCCTACCCAAGTCCCCGAAGCTTCTGGGAATAGGAAGAAGGATCCCAGGAGGCCATGGTAGGATTAGAGTAGGGGGAGCAGGTCCACAGGAGTAAGCTGTTGGCCCGTGGATGTCCCTGCCCTGTCCCTGCTTAGCCATTGTGCTCGGCTTGGGGACTTGTTTGGCTACAAGGAATCAAGCTGAGGACAGAGTAGGAGTCCCTATGGCTAGGCTATAGGCTGACCACTGCAAGGAGCCCCATTGTTTTGTTCCATTCTTCCGCCCTCCAAAGGATTTTCATGGACATTTTCCTTTAGGCTTCACCACCTGGGGGTGTTGGTGTCATTCCTTTAGCAGGATTTAAAAATGCTTTCTCCCTAGGTATATCAGCAGCACATGCCCACTGTGGAAAATTGAAAAAAAGCAAAGAAAAGACGATACTGCTCTGTTTCAGAGCTTTCCTGTCACCTGACTCCTATCCTGCCCAATCTCCCTAACCCACCATCCCACTTCATTTCTTCTTAACATTCATCCAGTGTGAATGGATCATGAAATCATTTGGCTCGTTTGTTTCTTTAACCTGTTTATGGTCTGATTCTCCCCACTGTGATGAAATTCCACGAGGAAAGGGATCTACTGCCACTTGGCACAAAGCAGAAGCCCAGTAATGTCCACTGAATGAGTGAGCAAATGGCCTTTGCACCCAGAGGCCTATTAGAGGTTTGAGTGCTTTTCTTGTTGATGTATAAGAAGAACCTTTTATATATGAAGATTGCTAATTCTAGGTGTGCTGATTTGTGAGAACATTTTCCCTTGGTTTGTTGCTAATATCATACCCTACTTATGGTGATTTTTGACTTATAAAAGTTTTAACCTTTAGAAGTGACATGTGTGGCACCTACAGACCACAGTGAAGATTCCTGCTGAGTGTCCCTCCTTGGAGTAAGTCACAGGAGATGGGGTACTCAAGGTGTGGGTAGGAAACCAATTCTGCTTACAGCCCCTGATTCTGGCTGCCTCTCACTCCCTTCTGTTCTTTGCTCTCAGTATTTTGGAGCTGGTGAGAGACAGGTTGATGGGTCCTGGAGCCTCTGCCCAACTCCTTAGCCTTGTGTGGCTTCTGTGCCCATGCTCAGAGCTTCCTTGCCTTTGGGAAACCAAAAAGAAGGCCCATGAAGGCATGAGGAGGGGAACATTCTAAAATGTAGGTCCAGAATGAGGTATAGATATATTCACAAGAGGCTACAAACCTTGCTCCTCTCACCCTGTGCTGCAGTCCAAGTGTTTAGCATGGATGAATGGGTGGGTGAGTGGATGGATAGACTGTGAATGGATGACTGGATGGATGAATATATGGATGAATGGATGGATGGATGCATAGATGGAAGGACATATGGATGGGTGGATGGATAGATGAAGAGATGGATGGATATATGGAGGATGGTGGATGAGTGGATGGATGGATGGAGAGATGGATGAGTGGATGGATGGATGGATAATAGATGGGTGGATAGGTAGATGAGTAGATGGATGGATGCATAGATGGACAGATATATAGATGGGTAGAGAGGTGGATGACTGGATGGATAGATGGGTACACAGGTAGGTGGATATATGGATGGGTGGATGGATGAATATATGGATGAGTGGATGATGAATGGATGGATGGATAGATGCATAGATGGAAGGACATATGGATGGGTGGATGGACGGATGAAGAGATGGATGGATATATGGAGGAGTGGATAGGTGGATGAGTGGACGCATGGATGCATAGATGGACAGATATACGGGTGGGTGGATAGGGGATGAATGGACAGATGGGTGGGTGGATAGATATACAGATGGGTGGATAGGGATGAGTAGATGAATGGGTGGAGGCATGGATGCACTGGGAAGCAGATAATCATTGCTAAAGAAAGCTCAACTTCACTTAAATTCCTGGACCTCAGGGAAGAAAAGTTGTTCCAACTACTGGGAATTTTTAATTAAATAGGAAAAAAAATAATTCCAGAAGCCCCAGAGCCATAAGCCAAAGTTGTATATGACAGCAAACTTCATGGTTTTGACATGCTCCCCTGAGCAGTCACAAACTCACAGAACTATGACATCAAGCTACACCCCTAGAGGTTGGAATATGCAAAAACTGCAAACAGATGCAACGAGAGTCAGCTTGTCTTAGGAGCCACAAAACCCAAGGGGGACACTCAGGGTCTGGGGATTTTTTTCCATCCTCTCAGGCTGATTTCTCAGAGGACAAGCTAGAGCTCCCTCAAAGCTGGTATCTGGGCTGGTTTCCCCTCAAGAAATTCTTGGTGGAGAGGTGGCTTAGGCTAAGGGGGTGAGAGGATGTGGTGGGAAGGAGTAAAGGGGAAGGGAAACTGAGTGTGGGTTGGAACAAATCATACCTCTGCCTTCATCTTATTGGGGAGCACTGGGCTTCTTACCCATGTCATTAACCTTCTCCCACTGACAGAGGTCCTGACCCAATGAGCAAGGTACCAAGAATCCCTGAGGGCCACCTGTCTAAGAACTGCGTGTAATGCCCCTCTCCGCTTCAGCTTCATATTTTACACAACCTTCTCCTGCCATTTTCTCTATGGAGATTGCCTTTTCCCTTCTTCACTGGCTGGCTCCTATTCATCCTTCAATGGTCAGATGAGGTGTCACCTCCTCCAGGGAGCTTTCCCTGACAGTCTGAGAAATATACTCCCATACCCTCTGGGCTTCCTGCCATTCCACTACTTGTCACTTAGTGGTGACACAGTCTCTTTACTGGCTCATCTTTTCTCCTACTCTGTGAGCTTCTGCAGGACAGGGCCAGTGTAGGAGTCATATCCATATTTATGGGCCCAGACCTCCGCAGAGACTGGCACCCAGGAGGTGCTTATTGGGTCACCCAGATTACCTCTGGAGTGGCTGAGTTGGGTGTGTGTAATGGGCCTGCATGGCCTGGAGATGGGCTGCAGTGGTGACTCACCCTCCCCCAGCTGCAAGGCGGGGTCCATGAGCTCCATCATGTACTCCACGTTGAGGAGCAGCTCTGTGAGGTTGCTGCGGGCCAGCACATACATGAGCACGGGCAGGAAGTCATCGGCCCCGTAGGGTTTCCCTGGGAGGAGGAAGTGGAAGGTGGTGAGTGCAAGGCTCTCCTTTGTTCTTGTTCTTTGCCCAGATTTGCTGGTAGAAGTGGTCACCCCTGGAAGAGGAATGTTTCTAATCTCTCATGACTCTCAGGATGAGGAGAACACTAGAATCAGCCTCCTTGGAGGCCTGAGGTACAGTCCAGGTTTAGGAAGAAGGAACTGAGAAAGTGCCCTTGGTTGGGGTGACTAAGACCCTGACCCCTTCCCTTTTCCTCCCCACCATGACTGCCCTTGCTGCTTGTTTGACAGTCAAGTTCATTTTACACTTACTCATAGACCCACCGAGAATAGCTGTCTGCCCAATATTCATGTCTTTGGGGAAGGTTCCCTGTCCCTGTTAACCACATGTCTCCCTCCCCACCTGCAAAACAGAACCCCTCCCTCTGTTAGATACTACAAGGCCTGAAAGGCCACCATTCAATCTTCCTTCTTTTGGGTTACGCAGTGCCTTTTCCTATGGGCTTCTTTTAAAACATAAAGACCTCTGGAAGGAACAACTCTTCACTGCTGCCTTTCATGATGATGTTTCCAGGGCTCAGAGCATCCTGACAGCAACAGCAAGGCAGGCAAGGCAGGCGGTGGAGTACATTCTATAAAGAAACAGCAGCAGACAGGAGGATGGAAGGTGGGCCCAAAAGATGTCTCCCCAGTTTTGCTCTGGGACAACTGAAGACTGCCTATTCGACAACACAAAGCCTATGGTTGGACCTCTAGGAGAGAGGGAATAATCCTGACAGTAACAGAGGCCTCCTGGCAGCTTCTGTGAGTTTGCTATAGAGAGGAATCTTGGCCTACCAACTCAGCACCATGGGAATAACCATACCAGGTCCCCAACCCACCTTCTCACTTCCTTTAACCAAAGGGAGTCCAGGGCTCAGGCAAAGGTCTTCAGACTCGTGGTGTTACCAGGTCTGGATATACCCCCAGACTGATCTATTTCAATGCTGCTGTTCTTTGCCTTTTGGGTGAGACTAATAATCAGCCCAAACATATGCCAGGCAACTTACAGTTCATTCAAAAAGTGTATTTCTACTTGCCATGTTTACAAAGGACTTAGGTGACCTATTGGGAATATCCCTGAAAACCAATAAAATCTAAATAAAAAATTGCACAACATACGGACAAATATCAATTATAAGAGGAATTGTGCTATCAGAAAAAGAGAAATATAAATAAGAATCTACACAACTGCTCCTTTATGAATTTGGTTTTGAGTTTTCTGATGGCCAAAGTGAGGAAAATGCAATCACATTCTTCTCATTGTCCCTAAGAAGAAAATGTTCTTGTTTCTGGCAGGGTAACCAAATTATTTTTCTAACCCTCAGCTCTAAAATAAATTTTTCACATGTGCCTTTACTTGGGGGACATGAAGAGACATAGTTGGCACACACAGGGATGCTTCACTTGGTGATTTTCATTCTTCTGCCTCAAGATGCAGCTCACGTAGCCAGGTGCAGTGGTCCGCATCTGTAATCCCAGCACTCTGGGAGGCTGAGGCAGGTGGATCCTCTGAGCTCAGGAGTTCAAGATCAGCCTGAGCAAGAGTGAGACCCCATCTCTAAAAATAAATGGGTGTGGTGGTAGGTAGCTACTCAGGAGGCTGAGGCAAGAGGATCGCTTAAGACCAAACGAGGGTGATAAAGTCATTTTTGTCTCTAAATAAAAAAGATGAAGGTCAGGGCAAGCACCACTCACTCGCTGTGGATTATGGAACATTTCTACCCTCCTTTAACCTCAGAGATGATGGAGAATGGGAGAATGAGGTGCCTGAGGATGTAATAAAATCACATGAATAGTCAGAGCCATATTGAGGCCTGAGGCAAAAGGAAAAATGTGTGTTCTTATACATATTGATCAAAATATCTTCTCATATTTTGATCCAAATGGAAAAAATTAATGAATGTTCTACATTCAAAAAAAAATAACTGTATATGAAATCCTATTGCCAATCTGTTCACACATCATCATCAGCTGTCATAAAACTCACGTGGGCCTGGAAACCATAGGCTGACTGGACAATAATCCAGGTTCATAAAACATTCAACAGCATGTCTTTATTAAAAATGTTGATATTTTGTTCATTGTTCATTGCTTTTTTTTTTTTTTTTTGGTGGCCAGGGCCGAGTTTGAATCCGCCACCTCCGGTATATGGGGCCGGCACCCTATTCCTTTGAGCCACAGGCACCACCCTCATTGTAGCTTTTTTGCATTAATGTTTTTTTTAAAACAGTTTATTAAAATATTATCTTGCCATATGACCCATGGCTAGTGGAATATCAGTGAGAAACAAAATGTTTTTTTAAAACAGTGTATTTGCCATATGACCCATGCCTAGTGGTATATCAGTGAGAAACAAAAACATATTTCCACACAAAGCCTTGTACACAAATGTTCATAGCAACATTGTTCATAACAGCCAAAAAGTGGAAATAGCCCCGAATGTTCATCAACTGGTAAATGGATAGAAAAAATGTGGTACATCCTACAATGGAATACTATTTGGTGACAAAAAGAAACAAACTACTGATTTACTCCATTGTGTGAACCTTGAAAACATTATCCTAGGCCAGGCATGGTGGTTCATGCCTATAAGCCTATAAACCCAGCACTTGGGGAGGCCAAGGTGGGAGGATACCTTGAGGTTGGGAGTTCAAGACCAGCCTGGGCAGCATAGCAAGACCCTGTCTCTATAAAAAAAATTTTAAAATAGCTGGTTTGGTGGCTCACACCTGTAATCCTAGCACTCTGGAAGGCTGAGGCAGGCAGATTGCCTGAACTCAGGAGTTAAAGACCAGCCTAAGCAAGAATGAGACCCCATATCTTAAAAAAAAAAAAAGCCATTGTGGTAGGCACCTATAGTCCCAGCTACTTGGGAGGCTGAGGCAAGAGGATCACTTGAGCCCAAGAGTTTGAGGTTGTTGTGAGCTATGATGCCAGGACACTCTACCAAGGGCAACAAAGTAAGACTTTGTCTCAAAAAACAAACAAAATAGCCAGGTGTGGTGGCAGACACCTGCAGTCCGAGCTCTAGGCTAAGATGGGTGGAATGCCTGAGCCCAGGAGTTGGAGGCAGCAGTGAGCTAATTATGCACACTGCACTCCAGCTTGGATAAGAGTGTCCCTAAAAAAACCAAAAGAAAACATTATCCTAAGTGAAAGAAGCCAGTCCTAGAAGATTACATAGTATACTGTACATATTTTAGAATTCTATTTATATAATATATATAGAATAAATATATCCATAGAGATAGAAAGATTAGTGGCCATTAGGAGCTGGGAGGAAGAGAGAGGGGTGCGAATGCTAATTGGTGCAGTTTCTTCTGGGAGTGATAAGAATATTTTAGAATTGGAGTAGTTTTAGTCACATAACCTTGAGAATTATACCAAAAACTACTGAATTGTTTTTTAAAAATATATATGCATACACATATATTTATTGATAAGATGTATCTCGGCTACTGAGTTTTTCTGGCACCTCCCTCCCTACATTTTGCACCTAGGGGCAAGTGTCTCACTCACCTCTCCAAAATCCTGGCCCTGCATGTGGTGTTTAGGGCAGTGGCTGGCACAAAACAACCACTTGGTCAGTCATAGCCACTGTGAGTGGACACTGCACACAGGGAGACAAAGTGAGTGGGTCAGAGCTGTCCCTGCCTCAGGACCTTCCCTGACTAAAGCCAGTGGCTTTGCTGGGGACTGCAATTCTGGGGTCCTATAAAACTAGCCAAGGGGGCCTTATGTTTCTTGCCCGCTCAGTCCTATTCAGCCCTGGTAAGAGTGCCAGCGGCTGCTGGCTACTTCCCCTCTTCCCTCATTGTCCAGCTTCTCTTCATTTTCAAAGTAACAGGACTCCTGATTTTCAGCTGGGACATGGCCACCCCAAATCAAGACTACCTTTCCCAGCTTCTCTTACAGCTAGGGGAGGCCACATATTCACGTTCTGGTGCTAGAGGTCCAGCACAGGCACCGTGGAGGCCTCCAAAATGTCTGCCTAGCAAATGTGAGTTCTGCTCATAACTAACCTTGTTTGGTTTTCCAGAGAACACTGTGCCTTGTGGCCTTCATTTCTGGCTATGCTCAGTTTCTACATCTGCAAAATGGGGCCAGCAACACCTGCCCTGATGGACTTTTAGGGTCTTTGAGAGAATAAAATGAGAAGAATGATGATGTAAGTAATTCAGAACCTGTATAGCACTAAGGAACAGTGAGCGATTATTGATATCTGTGTTCTGAATCCTCAGGTGGGCTGAAGGAGATGGTAACGCACAGCCCTGAAAAACAGAGTCAGAAAAATGTGGAGTGTCACTCACAGGCCATTCCTCACCAGCTGTGTGGCCTTGGGTTGACTGACCTCTCTGAGCCAGCATTTCTAGTCATGTGAGAGCTGATGCAGATAACATGGCTGTCCACCCTATGGGGTTTTGGTGAGAATTCTACGAAATGATTCACACAGAGTGACCCCACTATGCTCCCATGAGAAGGCTGTTCTGGAGACGCCATTCTTATCATTCCAACTCTGTTCTGAGGCCCTCTGTTTGTTTGTCTCAAGGCTTCTGAGCCTTCTGGCACAAGATTAGTCAGTTTGGGGAAGCTTCCCATCACCTGAGACAGGACTAAAGATTATTCATGTGGATAATTTAATTATTAGAATCCTGGCATATAGTGGAGGTTTTTTTTCTTTTTCTTTTTTCTTTTGTTCTCCCTACTGCCTAGAGAATCAAGTTCAGGTTTTATACCCTGGTATTCAAGGCCCTTCTGACTGGGCCCACAGACACTTCTAGAACACGATTTATTCTACTGTCCTCCAGCCAAACTATCTAGTGAATAGATTCTAGTCAAGGGCCTCGAATAAGTCACCTGCCCTCCTGCCCCTAAGCTCTTGCTGTACTCTCCTGACAGACCCCTCCCCTTGCCTCTCCACAGGCTGTCTTACTTTAAAAGGCAAAGCATATTTTACAAACATCAT